TTTCCCCTTCAAAATTTGAAATGCTTGACTTAGGGCTTGTGTTTGGCTTTTATTTCCAGACTTTGGGTCTGTGATCCGTTTTAAATTTGTTGGAGGCAATATTATTTTGGAAGACACCATTCTTCAAGGATTTCAGAATCCTTTATTTTCCTTTAGTAGAATCCTGTTGAGCTTTATTGGTTTTTTAATTTTGTTTCTGCACATACTGGTTGAGACGTATGCCATGTTCAGAATTCACTATCCAAACAAATTCAACCAGTGTGCTGTTTCTTTCACGTAGAAAATAATACAGGTGTGTTACACAAGAAAAGAGCAAAGTCTAAAATTTATTAAACTTTAAAAGTGTGGATTTTATGTATCTCCTGTTTCTGCATAAGTTATGGTTGTTGAAATCATGTTGAAGTTTTGTCTTCTTGTTATTGCTGAGAGTCACTATTTCATAATCTGTTGTTTATTTCCATAGCATTTTTGTAACTACTGCAAATAATGTCTCTGTATTTTTGTTTTTCAGTTGCGAGTTTTCAAATTGGCAAAATCTTGGCCAACTCTAAATATGCTGATTAAGATTATTGGCAACTCAGTGGGGGCTCTGGGGAATTTGACCCTGGTGCTGGCCATCATTGTGTTCATTTTTGCTGTGGTTGGGATGCAGCTGTTTGGGAAAAACTACAAGGAATGTGTCTGCAAGATCTCTAGCAACTGTGAACTTCCACGCTGGCACATGCATGATTTTTTCCACTCTTTCTTAATTGTATTCCGAGTGCTGTGTGGAGAATGGATAGAAACAATGTGGGACTGCATGGAAGTTGCAGGCCAACCCATGTGCCTTACTGTCTTCATGATGGTCATGGTGGTTGGAAACCTAGTGGTATGTAGCCAAAATAATTTGAGAATTCATTTAGAGAAAGAATGGTAACAGAACCAGTAATTAAGTATTTAAGCATTATTAAATGTGTTACTTAAATATGTTTTTTTATGATTTTGAATTTGTTACAAGTATGGGTTCTGAAATAAAGTTTTCCGTTTGTTAGATTTCTGATCCTATATATAATCCTCAGCTTGGAGGATGGGTCCTCCAGGGGTCTGGAGTGCAATTCAGAGGATATGGGTGAGAGAGAGAAGCATCATGTGTTCAGGTTACCTAGTTACCTAGAAAGAGAGAGAAGAGCAGAGGTGTGCCTCAAGTGTTATGCTCCCAGGACGGGAGCTTGCTGTTTGCAGAAAAGGACATAGCAGAGCCTTTTCTCCCTAGCTGATTGAGGCATCACTTCCAATCACACTTAGGCAGGTTTTGGGTTTTGGTTTTTTTTTTTACTTTTTCCGCTCCCTCCTGTCTAAAAGACTGCTATAACATTCTTAGACTGAAATTTAAGCCATTTTGAGTCCTGCTTGCTGCACAGCCAACTTTTTACACAAATGGAGTAAGGAAACGTGAATTGGAAGGCAGCAGTTCTGCAGAAAAAACAGACTCAAGTGCTTCACGCTTTCTTTCACCTCTTTGCTTCCTATTCCTTAAGTGCTTTTTACAGACACTTCTAAAGTGGTCTGTGTTATATCTTCTTTTTCAGAGGAAAGCATCAGATCTGAACCAGTTTGTACATTACCGTGTATAAATTAGTCTTTTAAAATACATTTTATAAACTCACCTGTATTTGAGGTCTTCATTGCTCTGCCTTTTGCTCTGCTTTTCTCATTGCCTACTGAGTCTTCCTCTATTATTCTACATCTTCTTCATCTTAGGCAACTGTCAGTAGCAAAAGAGTTTTTAAATCAGCCATCCTGGAGGCATTCTGTAGGAATAAAATATCTAACAACAAGAATAAACTAATTATCTTTAAACCAGTCAAGCATTACTACTAGTAGCACAGCCACTCGCTCCAGGATGTTCTATAAATCTGTTGTCTTATAATGAAGAGAACTGTGAAATTGGTTGAACAAACAAAAGATCCTCCTTAAATATTTTTCTAAACCAGAAGATAGAACTTTGTGGAATGAAGTATCCATCTCTGAATTTTTCCACAGTATTTACTGCATTCTGATTTTATACCATAGCTCTAGTAGAATTTCTTACATGAGTAGACAATCCCTGCTGTATGTTCAGGACTCTGTTATCAAGTTGTTTTCCTGTGTTCCCAGCACATAGTTTTACCCTGTTGTCTTCATAGCTGCACAGAACAGCTGATCTGAAGGCTTTAAGAGCTGGTACTCTGCTTCTTTGGCTATCCTAGTACCATTTGAGCTCCTGGTAAACTCTGGGCTTGTATAATTGATTTCTACGTTTTGTCTTGCTGTGGGAAGAGGATGACTTGGGGGTTAGGAGACAGGGTGTGCTTCACATTTTTTAAGTCCCGTACAGCAAAATACTTGTGTGAGTTTGGACCAGCATTTACAAAAGCTGTTTTCTGCACAGATCAACTCTGTCTTCTGTTGCAGAGTGCTTCCCTGTGCCAGAGAAGTAAACATTTTGAATCTGTTCAGTCAGTACCAAAGAATCATTAATTTCTGACCTTCTACAAACACGAGCAGAAAGAGTATTTACAAGTGTCTTCATAGTCATACAGCAATGCAAAACCACAAAACCCCTGCATTGGGGGGTATAGGGCAGGTGCTTAAATTTCATTTACATTTTATTTACTGTGTAATTTCCAGAATCACATACAGCAAAGGAAAACATGAGGCCTAAGTTCATAATGGGTGACAGAAGAAGCATGTGAATGAGAAATTGAGAAAATTCAGCTGTATTGTCTTTTTTTTTTTTTTAGGTATTAAACCTCTTTCTGGCCTTGCTGCTGAGTTCATTTAGTTCAGACAGCCTTTCTCCTACAGACGATGATAATGAAATGAACAACTTACAGATTGCTGTTGCAAGAATTCAGAAGGGAATAGATTATGTGAAGAAAAGAGCAGGTGAATGTATCCAAAAGTCTTGTTGGGGGAAACAAGATGTTGTAAATCAAAGAACAGCAACAGATCAGTTGAATGATGAGAGAGACCATTGCATTTCCAACTGTACCATCGCTGAAATAAGGAGAGATACAAATTATCACAAAAATGAGAACGGAATGGCCACTGTTATAGGTGGCAGTGATTATACATCATTCATAAACAACCCAAGCCTTACTGTTACAGTACCAATAGCTGTTGGAGAATCTGATTTTGAACATCTAAATACAGAAGAGTTTAGCAGTGACTCAGATTTGGAGGAAAGCAAGGAGGTAAGATTTAAATATTTTATATTTTGTGTGAATTAACTATACCAATTGTGTTCTTTCATAGTATGGCTCTTCCTGCTTAGAAATAGGAAGCGATTGTGATTTGAGATTGTTGGACTACACTGAGAGTGGATAAACTGAAGTGGGAAAGTGGAGCTAAAGAGAATAGAAAAAACAGGCAGCACTGTATGAACATGTATGAACCCATTTCTAAAAGGGTTTTGAAAAACAAGCTTTTCCAAATTTTTAGTTGGATAGACAAATATATATGTACAGAATAAACAAGAGACAAAAGACATGGGGGTTTTTTGTATATGATCATAATACTTCCATGAAGTAAGGGTGAAAATAAACTGCTATTTAAAAAGATTAGAGGAGATATAAATAAAGAATATTAATACCCTTTGCATCTGATTTTTAAAGCTCACTGACTTCTACAGAAATGGGCATTATTTGTACTGGATAATCTAACAGAGGTGCTAACTCAGGGTAATGAGAGCAATAACAACAGTTTTCGAGTTCTGAAGTTAAAATGATGGGGGACAGGCAAGGGAACAATGTCAGTATTATGGGGTGAATATGCCAAGTAAAAATTATGAGAAAAAGTAGAATTACTGAATGAAAAAATATTAATTTCTTGCTTGCTTGTGGGAGTTTTGAACCAGTCACTTCAAAGACAGCTGCCTGACCTTAAACTGGGTCATCTTTAGGAAAGCAGTCATTTGTCAGCAACTGCAGACTGAGGGGGGAAGCAAAATCATGGATTT